CAATCAAATATCACACTCTTTCTGATTCCTAACTCGATACAGATGTTGCGACATTATTGTAGGGTTGGCTACAAGTACTGTAACATAATCATAGCTATGTGGATATAATGACTTGAAGTTTTGGACAGTCTAGTAAGTTCAGAATATCACTTTCCCTTTCCTTAAATGCAGCCTCTAAAATCAGGAAAATAAACATATGCAATATCACAACATGCAAGATGCAATGTTATATCAGCATATCGATAAAATAACGATATATAGCATATCCCTTCCTTATATGTCACAGCTGTTGTAGGCAGAAGTGTTGATGGTACTGTAATGAATCATTAATGTTTAAAAATGCAACATTACACATCCTACAGTGCACTGGGTAAAAGGACAAGTAAGGTTATGTCCTTGATGTCACACACATTACTCATTACGGCAGTTTTGTTTCCATGCATTAATATATAATAACCTGTAGCCATACATTAATGTTTAACCGTAGAATAATATATTTTAAAAAATAAGATTTTTTGACAGTGATGAAGATGTGTGATGGACCCAAACAAGTGAATGTAGAATAAAACATTTGAACACAAGCACTTAAGCAAGCTGAGCCAAGCAAGGACATTCACAGCAAGCCATTAAGCTAAGCACTGATAATAAGTAGTGTGGCTCACACAGACCACATGGTCCATCCAGCTGTGAATGTGTGGAAAAACTTGTACTTTAACAGCACATGCCGCCTTTTGGGCAAGACCTTAGTGATGTAGTGATTAAAAGGCAGAAAAGCTGAAAAAAGATTATAGAAGAATCAACTAAAACTGAAGACATTTAATTTAAGAGGCAAGTTTTGCTGTAAAGGCCTTACTTTACAGGAAAATACATGTTTTGTGCCAATCAGCATTAGCCCCACTAGTGCAAGAGGAGATAGATATCAAGTCTCCCCTCATTACTCTCATGGAAAGCTAGTGAAAGAGGTGACCAGGCAGTTTAGTGGAGGTGCAGTCAACAGGATAAAGTTTCAAACGGACAGGGATTGCTATTGTGTGGAGGCCCTGAGGCATGGCTGCAGGGCCTGAGTTGAGTGTGTCAAATTTGGACTTAACTGAGATCTGTATGTGCTTCTGGGTAGATTTTAAAAAATCACACATATACGGACTTCACTTCGTCTGTGTATGTTACAGTGAAGTGCATGTTTAAGATCTACAAGAATACAAATCATACAGAGAATCATAATGATCCATAAAAGCATTCAGACACCAGCCTTATTGTTTATGTTTTCTTGCGAACATTGTATTGATAAAGAACAGCACCCATGTCCTTACCACATTGTTCCAAAGGCCCATCAATTTGAAACCCCAATAGTCCAATGGCATATTTGTAAGGTAGGCAAAAGCAAACGTCCATTTTACCGAAGGCCTGTTGCTCCAACATGACCCATCTCCCTGCAACAAACCAAAAACATGGTTTATTATTATCCAAAGATGTCAACTGACCTACAAAATAATAATAAACACTATTAAAGTGTAACTGAAGTTCTTCAAATATTATATTTCAACTTGTTTTCATTATATTTGTTTACAGGAGGCACGTTCCCAGTATACTTTTCCCAGGCTGAAGTGAAGAAACTGGCCTAACCTCAACTGCAGCGGGTAGCCTGTCACACCACACAACATGGAGAGAAGGTCTGACTAGCCTTCACGCGGTGAACTCTGCTGCACCACAGGGTTGGCGCTGCCTTCTTGGAGCAGAGGTGCGTTGCCAAGGCCTGGCTTGGCAGAGTGAGTGCTGCCCTGAGTAAACAGACAGAGTTGTTTTTGTTTTGCTTTTGACTCTCATTTCATTTCTTGTTTCAGGCAAACATTGGAACTTGAGTGAGTGGGTGCACCAAACCTCCAAATGATATCTACAGGGCTTTGGACTGGAATATTGTCAATCAGAGTGAGTGCGGCGAGAATGGGATGTTGTGTGTGAGTATGTATCACATACTCACACACAACATCCCATTCTGCACAGTAAATCTTCCTGCATGTGTGTCTTGGTAATTCAAAGACTATGCATTGGGGGCATACTGTACCTCATGTCGGTTTATATTGTACACTAGGGTGTATGCATAGGTCAGTTTAACAAATTGTGTGGATACTGTCTAGTTTTGTAGCTCCTCCCTGCAGGATTTACTTTGTTGTGTGAAACATTTATATGAAGCCTTTCAATGAGGAGAGGAAAAGCAAGAGAGAATCGTGTAGAGGCAGAGCATGGGCATCCTGACCTACAATGAACTGCTCCCTCCTGTTGAGCTTTCATTTCACGGTTTAATGTGGAATGAATGTCTGGTCCCACATGGTAGTGACTTCTGCGTCCCTGTGGCTTCTAAAAGAATACCGCCTTCTCTGAGAGGCAGGACAAACAAAAGCATTACTGTGAAGAGGATAGCTTTAGTACACTCACAACCGGACAAATAAAGGGCTGACATCCTAGAGAATCAGCTTTGTATTTCATAAATGTCCACAAATTACTTGTGCCAGTATGCAATACCATTATCAGTATGCCCCGTCTTTGTTCATCTGGCAACCCTAATGCCTTTGCAGACATCAGCAATCTTTAATCTTGCTAAAATAGTCTAGATTTGATGGATCACTTTTAATTACTAAATGAAAATGTACAAATAAATTATTTTGCTTAATTAAAAAATATGAATAAAGTAAACAATTCCACAAAGATGACGTTAGTAGTCCAACTTTGGGGAGACTTCACAAACATTATCTTTGAAGTAAAATTAATTACGTATCCATGTCTATCCAAGCCAAATTGTCTGAAGTGATGTCAGATTTTTTTCATTTTCAAACATGTAGTCTTCAGCTCCATCTTACACTGCCTCAGGGGTTAAAGAGAAGAAAGCTTCACATACCTCTGGGGCCTGCTAGTCGTCTATGCTAGAGGCTAGCAGCTCAAAGCTAAATTAGCTCCCATTAGCATAACACAACTATATCTCCGGCTGACTTTTGGTCGCATTAATGCAGACTAGTACATCACCCTCAAGAATGTTTGGAACAAAAAGACAATAGTTCTGCTTCGGCTGACTTTTCATACTTCAAAGATATGCAATATATGCACATGTTCAAATAATGCATGTTGTGAGGCAGACATTGTAATATCAGCTAAATATTTGAAGCCCCTGTCATACTGTCCGGATATTGACACCCGATGGACACACGAATATGGAATTGTGAATTTCACACGAAGATGGCCCCGAACCACACACGAAGGCAACATTTACATTACATTTAAGACATACAACTGCAACGAAAGTAATAAAAACAATTATGTTAAAGTACTATGATACTGTACTGATATTTTCAGACTTTGTTCTTTACTTTCTCCGTCTTTATATGTAGATTAGAAGATATTAAGTTTTCTCCGTCATGTTGTTTCCATAGCAACAACAACTTCCTGTCAACTTGCCTTCAAAATAAAAGCATCTAAATAAAACCGGAAGTTAACCTAAATTACATTTAAGACATACAACTGCAACGAAAGTAACAAAAACAATGTAATATCCTTTTCAGTTTCACAAAACACAAATTGGGTTATTTACATAATATGTTTTCTTAAGCCATCGTATGACCGCCAGTGGAGTTTCTCAGGCTCCGGCAGCAACTTTGTGAGTGGTGGCAAAATCTTTGGCATGCCAAAAAATTGCCGAAGGACCTTGCGAAGGTTCATTTTCGTATGATCATCGGTGGAATCGGGTATTTTTCAACCCGATGGAACCGATGATCAGACGAAGATGACACGATTCGACAAGATGCCCTCACGGGTGCCTTACGAAGGGCAAAATGGACACACAAATTCAACACGAAAATGAACATTCGCAAGGTCCTTCGACAATTTGTTGGCATGCCAAAGATTTTGCCACCGCTCGCGAAGTCGCTGC